CATCCTAATCTCCAAATGAAAACAATAATTAAGACAGGTGTCTGCCTAACATGGTACAATTTATCCTGAGTACAACCAAAAATGTGCTATCCTTTTCTCTCTAGAAGATAATACAAAAATTCTTTTTTTTCCTTCCCCTTTGAGGTATGAACATTCTTTTTTCTTTTAGAACTTAAATCAAAAGCTATAAAATTAACTACTATCAACACATTTTATCTAAGATTACAAAGGAATGAGTGAGGGAATAAAACAAAAATAATAATTAAAAAAAAACCCAAGGTCGGTTTGAACCGAAAGGTCAGTGTTTCAGACTTTGTAGCAGCTCCTTGGAAACCCCATACAGGGTTGCTATAAGTGCCAACTCGATGGCACTTAACAACAGCAACATCTGGTGTAAAAACATCTATTAAAAAAAGGAAGACCTATTCATAACAATTATAATCCTTGTTTCTGCATATGGTATTAGCTGGTCTTTATACCTATCTTCTTCACTACCCATTATGTGTTCCCTGTGTTGTAAGCAAGCACCTCAATTTATAGTGGTTCTTAACTAGTGGGGTCTGAGCCATTAGCAGTCCTTCCTGAATTGGGGTCGTGGGCATCTGGGCCATTGTTTGCTGAAACTTACTTTTGCTGGTTGCTTAAGCTCAATTTCTTACACAGCACTTCTGTCTGATGTTGGAGTACTGCTGTGCTTTCTCAGCATTATGGCTTGTTCATGATAATGAACTCAGATCACATGCTAACTTGATGCATCATGGTTAAGCATCCAGTCTTTACTAAGACCTAGTTGTTGTTAAGGAGCTCTGGTAGCATAGTGGTTATGAATCGGGCTGATAACCTCAGAGTCAGCAGTTCGAAACTACCAGCTGTTCTGCAAGAGAAAGATGAGGCTTTCTGCTCTTGTAAAGATTTATAGCTTCGGAAATCCTGTACAGTATCGCTATGGTTCGGAACCGACTCCACAGCACATAACAACAACAACTGTTCTTGTTGTTAAGCATCGTCGAGTTGGTTATGACTCGTTGTTGTTGTTGTCAGGTGCCATCGAGTTGGTCCTGACCCTTAGTGACCTTATGCACAGCAGAATGAAATACTGCCTGATCCTAGGCCCACCTCACTATTGTTGCCACACTTGAGTCTGTCAATGCTGCCACATGGCCAGTCCATCTCATTGGGGGTCTTCCTCTTTTCTCTGTTTACCTTACTAAACATGATATCCTTCTCCAGCAACTGCTCCCTCCTGACAATATGTCCAAAGTATGAGAGACCAAGTTTGGCCATCTTGGTCTCTAAGCAGCACTCTGGCTGCACTTCTTCCAAAATGGATCTATTGGTTCTTTTGGCAGCCCATGGCACTTTCAATATTCTCCTCCAATACCATAACTCAAAGGCATCAATTCTTCTACAGTCTTCCATATTCACTGTCCAGCTTTCACATGCATATGAGCTTATTGAAAATACCATGCCTTGGGTCAGGCACACCTTAGTTTTAAAGCTGACACCTGCTCTTCAACACTTTAAAAAAAGTCTTGTGCAGCAAATTTGCTTAATGCAATACATCGTTTGATCTCTTGACTGCTGCTTCCATGAGTGTTGACAGTTGATTCAAGAAGAATGAAGTCCTTGACAACTTCAGTCTTTTTTCTCCATTGATAAGAAATTTGTTTATTGGTCCAATGGTGAGGATTTTTGTTTTCTTTACATTGAGATGTAATCCATACCGAAGGCTCTTTGATCTTCATCAGTATATATTTTAAGTCCTTTTCACTTTCAGCAAGCAAGGTTGTATCATCTGCATATCGCAGGCTGTTAATGAGTCTTCCTCCAATCCTGATGACACGTTTTTCTTCATAGAACCCATTCTCAGATGATTTGTTCAGCATACAGGATAAATAAGTATAGTGAAAGAAACAACCTTGTTGCACACCTTTCTTAATTTTAAACCATTCAGTGTTCCCATGTTCTGTTCGAACAACTGCCTCTTGGTCCAGGTACAGATTCCTCATGATATAACTCATAGTGACCCTGTATAGGGTTTCCTATAGAGCTCTGGTAGCAAAGTGGTTACGAATCGGGCTGCTAACCTCAGAGTCAGCAGTTCGAAACTACCAGCTGTTCCACAGGAGAAAGATGAGGCTTTCTGCTCCCGTAAAGATTTACAACCTCGGAAGCCCTGTACAGGGCTGCTATAACAATAACAAAAACAACATAGTGCCACACCAGAAGACCTAGTTGCAAGCCAAAGGTGGCTTCTTCAAAGGAGAACAGTTATCTGCATAGCATGATCATGTACGTGCTTCAAAATTCTAAGACTTTGTGCCATGAGTCACCTATACTATACGTTCTGGTCAAAGGTTCTCGACAGTATCTCTGCTGCTTACCCCCTTTGACATTTGGGTGTTTTATCAATGTATGTAGAGTAGTTCCTGTTCAATGGGTAAAATCAACATAATTTAATTAACATCTTAGACCGCTGTGATGTCCTTTGAAAAGGAAATGTCATTGAAGCTCCTGAGGACCAGATAATGACAAAGAGCTGAAGAGTTGATATAACTTTGAACTAGGACAGTGAAGGTATATTGCTGGTCTTGCCGCCTGAAAGCAACCCACTTTAATGAACATTAGTATACAGATATAAAGGAGAAAAAGAGCATTCTCCAAATTAATAGCCGTATTCCAGGTGCTAGGGGATATGTTAAGTTGTATCAGCAAAGAAACTACATCTGGAATGGCAGTTGGAATTAAAATCATTACTTGATTAAGAGGACAGCAATCCATTGTCATCTTTAAAAATGCATTTGTCTGCTGCATACCCAGAAAAATGTAGATATGATAGGATTCACCACATCCGTGTATTTCAAGTTCTTGATAGTGGTGAATCTCTGTCATCCCTCCAGGAATGCAATATTGCTTTTGGTT